TGCTATAGGCTAAAAACTGTATGTAGCACACTACGGAAAAGAGATTAATACAGCACTACCTAAAAGAGATTAATATAGCACTACTTAAAAGAGATTACTAGAGCATAACTTTCCAACATAACACATATAGTAATAATTTTAATGTTTTCAATGAGCCAATCATATAATATGCATTTTTCATTCTTCTCTCCCTTAGAATAGGGTGTTGCTTCTAGACAACACTTGTGCTGGTTGCTTCAAAGTACTTTGAAGAGGCTCCATATCTAATTTTCCCCATTTCCCTGAGGCTACCCACACTTCTGGGTTCACTTCAGCATAGGCCTTGCCAGACATATGACACAAAGGTACAACAGAACTAGCCTCTGTATCAGCTTTTGTAATGTTAATTTGCATTCCCAGTTTAGTGATCAAATCCCTTCCCTGTAAACTATAGTCACAATTAGGAGCAAGTAAAAATTCTTGCATTTCAAACCCTTTCCCATATCTGCTAAGAGTGGTTGAATAAAGCCACTCCTCTTTCCTACTTCTCCCCCGAATACTCAAAGACATTTTTAGCAGTTGTCCCACTTAGGTCTAAGATTCAGAGTGGATTGAGCGTCTCCTGTGTCCATCAGGAGAGGCCTCTCGATGCAGACCCACCCTGAATGTTCTCCAGGGCTGCAGTGTGGTGGGTCCCCGATGGGATGGGAGCTCTGACACCCCTGACAATCCATGTCCACCCAGGGGCGCCATTTGTCGGAATCTGTGGTATTGATGATTCTGAGATTGTAGAAAGTCTCTGTCTTTCTGCCCCATTGCCAAAGAAGAAGCCATAAGTCATCTGTGCTGGTTTCAAGGGTGTTTATTCCGTTTGTCTCTAACATGTTCTGCTGCCCTGCTGCAGGTCTGTCCTGCAGGGCAGCGTGTGGGGCTCTGCCCCTCAGTGGGATGTTACAAACATTATATACCAGAAACTACCTGTGCTGTATTTACAATAATGTGCCAATATCTATCATCTACGTTGGACAGTGTGTCCCCAGCCTAAACCAACAGAAAAATGCCAACACTAGAGTGAAACATGGAGGGCATGAAGAAGGAGAAAAAGGACAAAACACACCCAATTTCCTCAATCTTGTCCCCTTTGAACCCCTAATCTAGAATCCAAAAATTTTACTTTTGCACCTGTGCCATACTTGGTTATTACTTATATCAAACATTCAGTGCTTGTAATTCATCCTGTAAGATTGAAAACTCTTTTCCATGGACAGAGATCAGAGACAGTGTCTCTCGGGCTCTGTCCAGAGGGGTTCCTGACCCCCTGCCAGGGTCCCAGGACTTCAGGGCAGTGAGAGGGAAGCCCTGGATTCCCACAGACTTGCTCCTCCTGAGGGTGCTGCTGTCTGTGCTTGCAGTGTCCTTGTGGGCTGCAGCTGGAGCCCCGACTCCTTCCCAGGGGCTGTTTGGGTGGGCTCTGCCCTGGCCAGGAGGGCAATGCCTCTGCCAGGTGTTTGTGGCCGACACCATCCCCTGGGTACTGGGGCCCCCTTGGGCCCTGGGGTTGGTCCCTCAGGGGCTGTGGGAACTCTGCCATGGCCTTTGCCTTCAGCTTGGCCTTTTGCTCATCCCTCCTTGCCTTCAGCTGCTGTGCCTTTGTGCCCAAGTGCTGCAGGGCCTTCTTCTGCCACTCCTGCAGCCGCGGTCACTGCCTGTGGGTGCTCATCCTCTGAGAGCTGCTGAGCTTTCTGCAAAATCTTTCCTTTCTGCAGGGACCCAAACCAAATCCTTAAGAGAAAATCCTGATCCTTCCATGTGCACTCTGCATTTCCCAGAGGTTCCTTTGTTTTGCTCCTTGTGCTCAGTGTCCCCTGCACAGCCCGTGTGGCAGAGCCGGTGCCTGTCCTGCCGCAGTGTCCAAAGGCGGCCCCCCCGGCGGGCAGGGCCGGCAGCTCCCCGGGGCCGGGCAGCGGCCGGGGCGTCCCGCAGCCTCCTGGGGGCCGGGGGCCACTGCCGGCCCTGCCCGGGGCTGGTGGGGTCAGGCAGCGCCCGGCGCTGAGCCCCGGCTGCCCCACAGCCCCGGCCCGGCCCCGCAGCTCCCCACAGGCCCCCAGCCCTGCTCCCGGTCCCGCACCTCTGCGCCCGCTGCTGCCGCTGCCCACCACAGAGAAACCCCTGACATCCTGACCTCCTGCTTTTCCTCTCCTGGAAACTGGGAATTCAAAGTATCAGCTGGCAAATTCTGAGGATAAGACCCTGCTGAAAAACATCCCAATCCTGAGTATTTTTCTCTTTCTCCTCTTTTCCATCATCCTTTTTATTACCACACACATTCCTCCTGCTGCTTCTTGCCTGAGCCATATTGCTGCACACTCCCCTGCACCCAATCCATTCCCAGCACACCAACACCATCCATCCCCTGTTGTCCAAATCCCTTCTCCACTTCCCTTATTGCCCCCCTGGGTGCCCATGTCCTTAATTACCTCTGGGGGAATGTGCAAACTACCTCAGCATTCTCCCAAGGGACCTTTCAGAGACATTTTGGGATCATCATCCCTTTGGCCAGGAGCCCTCCCTGGCTTTCCCTTTTCTCCCCTCCATGGGTGCCCTGCCATGTTCACTCCCCGAAGATCCCAGGGCACTCACTGATGAGATTTTCAGTGCTCTCTCCCTGCTGACTCTTCACAGACCCCCCTGATGTGTCGCTCGTCTGTCTCCTGGTCACTCCCGGGTCCCCAATCAATCCCCGGTGCCGCCGCCAGCCAAGGGAGCCGATCACCCAAACTGGGTGAGGCACCTTCCGCTGAACTCCCTGCCTGCAGCCCCGGATGGTGGAAGGAATTCGGGATGAGCCCCAGGGTGTGCAGAAAAATTGACATCACCAGAGGATTCTGTCCACAAAGCAGACAGAGGAGTCCTGTAAAAGTAATGTCATTCCTAATAAAAGGGAGAGGCCATGAGACATTCCCCATGGGGTCTCTCCAAGTGTTAGAGGACAGAGCCTCCTTTTCATCCTAATTTTCCTGGCTGCATCTCCCTTTTCCTTTCTGTGCTGGCTGAAGTACTTGAGAGGTACAGACATCCCAATCCACCTACTACATACCCCCATTAATATGCACCCCACTGTTGTGTAGGAGATGATATTCATGGCTCTGTTAAGGCTTTGTTGTTCTTCTCCAAGTTAATGAATATAGCAAGACCTTGGCTGAGCAGCAGTCTGTGTCATCAAATAACATTTTCTGAAACCAATGGATTCTCCTGTCACACCCCTATGAACAATTCTTTGGCCCTATATCCAATCAGATTCAGAGCATCTGTTTGTAAAGACACTTTGCTCTTGTTCCTTTCATGGGGGTCCGCCGTTTGTGGGACATCCCCCCTGGAGCAGGGTGTCCCCTCTTTGCTGCAGCCGCAGCCCTCAGGCAGAGCTCAGCCAATCAGAGCCTGCGGCGCTGATGACTCACCAGTTGCCAGGCAGACTCGCAGCTCCCCGTGTTCCCCACCTGGACCCCACCTGCGCCCCCCCCTCGGCCCCATCGCCCCCCGAGGGGAATTTGGGGAGGTGGGAGTGGGGCAGCGCCAAGGCCGGGCCCCCCCGCGCTGTCCTGGCGGGAGCGGCTGCAGTGGGGACCGAGTGCGGGCGGGAGCGGCCGAGAGCCCAGCGCTGCCCCAGCCCGACCTGCCCCAGCTCCATCCCTGCCCCTCGGCTGGGATGCTGTGGGTCTGGGGGGAAGAGGGAGCCGGCAGTGGGTGCTGGGCCTGGGGGCAGGAGGAGAAGGGAAGAACAAGCAGGCTTGAGGAACAAAATGGTCAAACGATGGATGTGGCAGGAGAGGGTGGGATTGTGCAGGAGAAGGAGGAATAACAGGAGGAAGAGGAGTGTGAGGAAGAATAGGGACACGGGAGGAGGAGCAGAAACAGGGATCACCACCCTGTTCCATCTCTCCTTGTATCTACAGCCTCCCCCCATCCCCAGGAGCATTGCCACCCCACATGTAGGAGGTTGTGAGAACCCCGGGATTGATTCAGGGGTCTCGTGTGGTGGTAAAGTCTCTCCTCCAACCTTTGCTTCCAAAGAAAAACTCCGCAGTCTCTTGTTGTTCGGTCTTAAGGCAGTTTATTGCTAGTTATCTAAAAGATTGTCTTCCCCCGCTGTGGCTGCCTTGCTCAGCTGCCCAGGCAGAAACACACACACACTCCTGACACCCTCACTGTCCGGTGTCTCCGTCGTCTCTCTCCCCGCCCAGGGCTGCTGCTATCTTTTATATGATATATTACGTGTTATATGTTTACAGATTTTCCCCAATACCTACTATCCATGTTACAATGTGCTTTTCTACTCTAAACCAATCTGTGAGTGCCAACATCACCAAGAACATGGAAGCGAGGAAGAAGAAGGAGGAAGAACAGGATCAGGCCCACTTTCCTCCATCTTAGAACTCCTGACTCCCCTGTACAAAGTAAAACCCCCCTGTACAGGTGTTTAAACCCCCCTGTACAACACTAAAAAATTTTCCCCTCTAATTTGTAACTACTTCTACTATACCATCTAACATTCTGTGACCGCTTGTTCGACCTTCAAAGTTGGTAACTCATTCCATGGCTCAAACTCAAAATCACAGCTGTTTTCAGCTGCTTGCCAGGGTCTAAAATGCTTCTGACCAAGGCTTGGAACCTCTGAAAATGTCTGAGGGACATTTTGAGTTCCGACAGGAGGTGACTGTGGAGGGGTTCCACGATTTTCACAGGGGTGAATCTTGGAATTTCTCAGCTTTATTGCGTTAAATGTTGGTGCTTTATTTATTTTTAGGGGCTGAATATTTATACTTTGGAGACAGTTTTTGCTGAATCTTGATGTTTGGGGAGGTTTTGATCTGTGTCTTGAAGTTTGGAGGATTTTTATGCTGAACCTTGGTGTTCTGGAGGTTCTTACAGACACATGATGCCCAATGACTTTGTGAGATGACGTGGGGACAGGAGGAACTCCCAGTCCAAGGTGCTCTGTTCTTTTTTTTTTCCCAAACCAGGATTTTTCACTCCCAGGGTGTGGCCAGATGGAGAAGGAGGAAAAGTCCTGGAGATCCCGCACAAGGAGTGGCAGCAAACCCAGCCCAGGGAGCTGCGGGGAGGAAAGAGCCCCCCTGAGCCAGGAAGGCGGGCGGAGATCCAGCCGGAGCTCGGAGCTGGTGGAGAAGTCTCATGGCAGGGAGAAGCCCCACAAGTGCTTGGAATGTGGGAAGGGTTTCAGGCGGAGCTTGGATCTGATCCAGCACCAGGTGATCCACACTGGGGAACGGCCCTACGAGTGTGAGGAATGTGGGAAGAGTTTCCGCTGGAGCTCCAGCCTGAGACTTCACCAGAGGTTCCACACCGGGGAGAGGCCCTTTGAGTGTGGGGAGTGTGGGAGGAGCTTCAGCTTGAACTCCATCCTGATCCAACACCAGAGGATCCACACTGGGGAAAAGCCCTTTGAGTGTGGGGAATGTGGGAAGAGCTTCCGCCAGAGGGGCCCCCTGATGCAGCACCAGCTAATCCACACTGGGAAAAAGCCCTTTGAGTGTGGGAAATGTGGGATGAGCTTCAGCCAGAAGGGCCACCTGATGCAACACCAGAGGATCCACACTGGGGAAAAGCCCTATGAATGTGGGGAATGTGGGAAGAGCTTCAGGCAGAGCTCTGGCCTGAGGAAACACGAGAGGATCCACACTGGAGAAAAGCCCTACGAGTGTGGGGTGTGTGGGACGAGCTTCAGCCTGAACTGCCAGCTTACGGAACACAAAAAGATCCACACTGGGGAAAAGCCCTACAAGTGTGGGGAATGTGGGAAGAGTTTCAGAGAAAGCTCATCCCTGATTCGGCACCAGGTGATCCACACCGGGGAACGGCCCTACACCTGCTTGGAATGTGGGAAGAGCTATGGGTGGCACTCCGACCTGAGAAAACACCAGCGCATCCACACCGGGGAGAAGCCCTACGAGTGTTCTGAGTGTGGGAAGAGGTTTCAGATCAGCTCCAGTCTCCTCGTCCATCAGCGGAGTCACACAGATGAGAGGCCCTTCCGCTGCCCTGACTGCGGGAAGGGCTTCAAGGACAACTCCCACCTCACCGTGCACCGGCGCATCCACACCGGGGAGAGGCCCTACAAGTGTGGGGAGTGTGGGAAGAGCTTCTCCACGAGCTCCACCTTGACCAAACACCAACGGAGGCGCCACTAAGGGGGGAAACCCTGTGAGTTCTCCAAGGGTGGGAAGAGCTCCTCCCAGCTCCATTCCCTATGGGAGGATCCACGTTGGATGATCTCCGATGACCCTCATTGGGCAGAGAACTCGTGATCTATGGGCCTGGTCATCTGTGTTGGGAAGACACTTGGCTGGGAGGCTCCACATCTTCCTCGTGCCCTGTAAGCACCTAGATAAACCCAGTGGCAGGAACATCCATTGGGGCACAGACCAACAATGGGAATTCCTTGGGGAGAGCAGATTTATTCACTTTCAACTCCATAAAATCTTTTGCCTTCAATCCTATCTTCTGGTGGCATCAAGGAATACTGAATGGTCTTGGAGGTATGTCCTGGGTTGACTGTATGATGCTTGTATCCCCGGCTGTCTGTTCTGTTTACGGTGAATAATAAGTTTTTCACCTTTAAGACTTGTTCCGAGAGCAAAGGCGGGAGAGAAGGGCAGAGTTTGTTTTCAGAAACTGCACTCACTCCTCCACATTTCTGCTCCTGGGCTGGGTTGTCTGCAGATGGACAGACAGCGGGACAGAGCTCTCCTTTGCTGTTAATTAGTTTTAGCTAGCTGTGGCAGAGAAGTTCCTTGGACTGTGGGTTTTTTTCCCTTTTCTTTGGACCTGTTTAAACCTGCTCTGGCCTGAACACCCAGAAGAGCACGGGCAGCTCACACCTGTGGCTCAGTGGGCCAGGCCTGGACTGCGGCATTTCCAGCACTGGAGGGACTGATAAAGAGACTGAGTGATCTGAGCTACAACCCACGGAGGAACTTTCTGAGTTTATCTCTCTTTTAGAGCAGCAAGAGGTTTTATTGTTTAATGTTGTTTAGGTTTTATTGTTTAAAAAACAGTTTTTTCCACTTTCCTCCAAGGAGGTATTTTTCCCAAACCAGTTGGGGGAGGGCTGATATAATCTGCTTTCTAGAGGAATCCCTTTGGGGGTTCTCTCCCAAATTTGCTCTGAACCAGGACAAGGTCTTTTCCAGCTTCAGAGATTCCATTATTTTAATTTCCTATTGCCCAAGGGTGTGTTTTGCAGCCAGATGGTGGAAAAACTGGGGAAAAGACCAAGATTTTGGAGACAGTGGGGTAGAAACTCCCAAAAAAGGTTCTTCCCTCCACCCAAGCACATGGATCCTCAGCCGGCGTAGACACGGAAGTCTTTTTCTTTTGGCTTTGATTTTGTTTTCATTTCTCCTTAGCCCTTTAAAATATCCAATACTGAAATAAAAATAGACATTGAACTAAGAAGTGGATGTGGTCATGTTAGGACACAGACATGGTGGGACACGTGTAAGAATGTGCCCCGTGTTGACAGAGTAAACAAGTTACCCTTTGTTCCCTTGAAAAGGAAAAAAGCCCAGAAGTTTCTCTCCTCAATTTGGTTAAAAGACACTTCATAGGACCTTGGGGACTTCACTTCAAACTTAAGGGTAACTCATTGGACAGGAGCCAAAAAGTCCCACCTAAGCAATTCCCTAGAAAAGAAGAGAACAAAAGAAGTTAATTGAAGTGTTTTAGCAGAAGCAATAACCTCTTGCCCTGACTCGGCTTTTCTCTGTAAAAAGCTTTTTTATTTTTGCCTTTTATTAAAACTTTTTATTTCCAACACTCTCACAGGAGTCATCTTGCTTGTTTTATGCCACCCGAGGTAGCTGAGCTATCAAGGGTATAATGCTTATCTCTGAGAGCTCATAAGACCAGGCTCGAAAAGAGAAAAAGCATTAGACATGGAGAGTGACATGGGCATGCATGGACATGGAGGGGGACAGGGCCATCTCCAGGGACATGGGGGGACACAGGCATGGATGGAGACATGGGGGACAATGACAGGGATGGAAACATGGTGGGGAGACAGCCATGGGTGAGGTCATGGTGGGACATGGCCAGTGACATGTGGGGACATGGACATGGCCGGTGCCATGGAGGGAACTTGGCAGGGGATGAGGGGGATGCTGGGTTTGAGGGAGTTGAGGGTTCCTGGGAGGGCTTTGGGCCTTGCTGAGGCCTTTGGGGAGCCCAGGCCGAGCGGCTCCAGCTGCGCTGGGAGACCCTGGTGGAGGTTCTGGGGCAGCTGCTCAAGGACCCCTGACCTGGAGCCCCAGCCGGGCATTGGGCTCCTGGAAGGGGATGAACGTCCTTGTCCCCAGAGGGAAATCCCAGCACCACCAGGGTGTCGGGGGCAGCTAAGGGACCACAAAGGAAGGGGAAAGCCCAACAGAGCTGTCCCCCTCCTAAGCTGCATCCCAAAAGTCCCAAAGCTCAGGGATTCCTCCCATGAAAAAGCTGCCAGGAATTGCCCAAATTGAGGGAAAGGGGGGATGTGATCCCCAAACTGAAAAGGAGGGGCCTGGATCCCCAAATCCAAGCCCAGGGGCGAGAGGTAGAGCTGGAGGCACAACGGAAAGGGGTGGGAGAGCAGGGGAAAAGAGGATTCCGTCCAGGAGAGGAATGGGACCCTCAATTTAGTTGGGAGGGGTCTTTGGGTTGGGGGAACAATGGGAATGGGGAGGGAAGGGTGGGGGTGGAATCGAAAATGGGTGGTTCCATGGTGATGCCTTAGTGTTCCCATCGCTTGATCCCTGGAGTGATTCCGTGAGGCTCTGGGAGAGGGGAATGGATCTGCACTGGGTGGGTCCCCAAGCCCCCTGCCCATACCTGGGGGGCTCTTGGGAGGTTCCCTCTACCCAAACGCTGGTGCTGCAGCCATGGGGGAGAGGTGGGCAGGAAAAGGGGATCTGGGGTGGTCAGGGAGGAGGAGCAATAGGAAGAGGAGAGAGAGAGTTGAGGAGGAGGTTAGGGAAAAGGAGGAGCAGGAACAGGAGGAGGAAGAGGAGGAACAGCAGCAGATCCACACGGTTTGCCTGCCCATCTGCCGAGTCTGCAGCTCCCCTGGTCATGGCAGCATTGACTCCCCCAGACCCTGCAGGTAAGTGGGGAGAGGGAGCTCACCCCAAATCCATTGAGGGGGTGTCAGAATCTGCAGGTATTGATGTTTCCGAGATTGTAGAAAGTCTCTGTTAAAGCCAGGGAATCTCAGAAAAACGGAAAGCTGGACAAGACAAACGCAGGTTCAAACCAATGTGGTTAATCAAGCGTTTTCTGTTTATTCAAGATAAGGTGGTAGTTTATATAAGCTTCCACATAGTTTACAAAAACAAAGACACTCTAATTGGTAGGCTAACATTGTTTACCTTTTCCTTAAAACGGCCTACACTTTACACCATAAAACCTATACTAATTCACACCCAGACAACCCAGTGGTCCCCACAACACCTTAAGACTATTTTCTATCTGCGCCACAAGCTCTGAATTTCTAACTGCGTCAGAGGCTTTGAAGGCCCCACCAGGCCTCAATCTGAGGCCTAGACTGGAGTAGCTCAACTTTCACAATTCATGTCCTCTTTCTCTCAAAAATGCTGCAACAATTCCCTCTTTTTGTTTTTGAGCTACTCAGGCTGGAGTGAAGGCGCAATAAACTAATTTTTGCACACACTATAAAAAACACGGTATAACAATAAAAATAACTATAAAGATAAAAAAAAGTACAATACCAAAACGAATTAAATCTTTGACTCAGCCAAAAAACCTAAAGAATTGAGCCAGTTATCAAATGGAGTGTCCACTACGGTAAGTTTTTTCTCATGTTCTTTCAATTGCGTTAACTGTTTATAAATCGATTGAGAATGGTCAGACAATTCATGCAGCACATGCCCTAAAATTCTTCGCACCCATGTCCTTGTGCTAAAAGAAGGAAATCAATTGCAGCTCTGTTTTGTAGAACTGCATGACGGGTATCGTCTACATGTGCAGCAAGCTCACTTTTTAATTTAGATGTGATATTAATTTGTTTTCCTGTCCAGCAGGCTAGAGTTCTCAATTGTGTGAGCGCTTTTGATGAGGCGACCCCTGGGGCAAAAAGTGAGGCTACTACTACAGAGGCACGCCCCCACAATGACACTATATCTTTACAATTAGGGTCCATTTGGAGAACACTGCGTTTGGCTCGTTGAGTCTTCTGAGGCAATTCGAGAACCTGATGTATGGTGGGAGCAAAAAGCGTCAACCTACCGACATAACATGGGCCTCCCCTAGCATTTTGAGGGACTGCTGACCAGGCTCGGTCCCCACAAATGAGGAAGGTTCCTGGGGGCAGTTTTCCTGCACCACCTCTTGGAGTCGAATTGTTACAATATTCTAAATAGTTGTAATACAATGGTGATCTGGGAGACAACCAAGTGTCGTCATCTGTCAATTCTCCATTTTCTTGAGTTGGTTTGGTAGCTTAAGATCCAAATATCAAACAGTAATTTCCTGGGACAGAACCCAAAAGACCAAATTCTTGAACACTGTCATCAGTAAATTTAAGGTTTTGCACAAATGCAACAGCTTGCGCTCCCAGAGTGCTATTTAAATTTATTTGAGCTCGGGTCCAAGTTTTGAACTCTGCAATGGGACCCAATGAGACTCCAATTAAACAAGTATAAAAAGGGGGTTAAACGATGTGGCTAACAACAGGCAGAATTAATCTTGCCTAGTTTGTTTGGCCCAAGTGATCCACATATTTTCTCTCTTGTCAATGTCAAGGATTCCAGATACTTCAACAACCAAAACACTGCTTAATAAAAACATTGAGGCCCACCACATTCTTCTCAGGCTTTTGAATGCCCTGTTTAACATGAAAGAATCTTAATTCTAAACATAAACTATAACTTCTAATAAACTAACTTCTAATAAATCTAACTTCACACTTATAATATTTCAACTTATTTCTCTGTACTCTACAAACTTAATTTTCATCAGAACTGGATTCATCAGGGATGTTCCAGGCAAACTGTTGTTGTTGACGTTGTTATCACTGCGGGTTGATATCTTTTTCATCTATTTTTAAAATTCTGTTTCTGCCTTTTCGTATCAATGCAGCAAAAGCATCTGTCCTGCCCAGACGTCTTGGTTGGACGGGTAAAAACACTTACTCAAGCAGGATTGCTGTTGATCCACGTTGGGACCTCCCTCTTTTTCTTTTGCCATTGAAAGACAATGGCAAGATGAACAGAAAAATCACAGGCATTACTAAAACTTATTAAAACTTAGCAAAAAAAAATTCTATACCATCATTAAAAACACACTTATAAAAAAAAAAAAACTCAAAGCCCACGATCTTCTGTGGGTGAAACACAAATCTTTGCACAATCCACTTTTGCTGTGCATCCTCTGATCCACTTGTGGAGAGATCAGCGCCCTCTTGCAATTGATAAATTCCACATTCTTCACTGAAATCCATCTAGATTCTGCACCTGTTAAAACACAAACAAACCCAACACCCCCACAGGGACTGGAGGGTCCTCTCTCAATTCTGTTCCCTAAAACTTGCATGAAGAAATGGAAATATCAACATCTTTGTTATAAACATGAAAAAACATTTAAAACAAAACAATGCATATAGTAAAGAAACTGACAACAAATAAAAATCAATCAGATAATACACAATCAATATTACATATAAAATCACAGTTACCAAGTGCTACACTATCAAATTGTCATCCCAGAGTCTGCAGCAGCTGAAAAACCTTAAAACAGCAGAGATTTGGATAAAACATGTCCGGGTCATGTCTCTCCAAACTCCCTTTGAGGCTCAGCTGTCCTGTATGGTCAAATTGTCAAGTCAAAAGGACTTGAATACTTTTTGATGCAGAAAACATCTGGATCAATCACACCATCCACGTAGAGCCAGAGCTTGGCCAGAGCTCGAACTCTATTTGGAGGATATGTTTAAAACAAAAGTCTTGAAAATAACAGTTATAAGTGAAAAACCTTATTATTAAGAATTTATCAAAACATCAAATAATTGAACCTGTCTAAAATTTCTTTTTAAAACAAAAATTCTCTAAATACAACAAACCTTTTCTTCAAAAATCTGAAAATTTGAAGTCTGAAATCTTGAACCAAAATTTGGACAAAGAATTTTTAAACGAAGCTGAATTGCAGCTGCATAGAAGATTAGACAAAAAAAATCACATGAGTAATTAAAGAGTCAAAAACACAGGATCCTGAAAAAACACATCTTGCAATCAATCACCTAGAAAGACAATAAAACATATGAAAACTGACTGTAAATATTAAAACAACACCTCAATATCTTAACATCTTAATAATAATTCTTATCACAAAAATCAGACAACTTACATTATATGATCAATCTATCAACAAGAAATGTTTAAAATAGTTTAAAACAATCTTTTCAAAGCATTCATATAACATTAGTAACAATCATTACTTATCTTATCATTACCTACAAAAACTTGACAATTATCATTTATCTTATTATCTATAAAATTCAAAACCAGAAATTGTGAACTCAATGCCAACATTCCATCTGACTGACTTTTCTCAAATCTTTGTTTTCAAAGACATTTTTGGCAATTAAATCATGATTAACATTTCTATTTTTCATCCATATTGTATTTGAAATAACTTTGATTTGCATAATGTCCATCCTTGGTATCTTGGAAAACACTCGGTACTGCTATACTTTTTCATTACGTCTTCTGTCTCTTGCAAGGAATTGGAAAAATGCTGTTGAAAATTTTGCTGTAGTGTTGCCATCTCGCCATCGGTGGCACTGCTGTTCTCGGCGTTGTTGTTACCGTGGCAACCAGGCTGTGCAGCGCCTCCGCCGCCATTGCTGGGCGCTGCGGGGGAGATGAGGGGGCGGCGCCGTCTCACTCCCGTCCTTGCTGCATCACTGTGGGTCGGCCCCCGGGAACGCCCATCTCCCTCCCTCGCGCTGTTGCTCAGCAACAAGGAGCCTTCTGTCTATCGGCCGAAGTCCGCTCCGCCCCGGGGCCGCCTCAGGCTCGGTGCTGGCCGGCCCCTCTCTGCCCGGCCCCGCACCCGCCTGCCGCTCCGCGGTCCGCCCGGGCGGCTGGCCGGTGCTCACTGCCGCACCCTGCTGCTCTCCGCCACAGTCCGTTGCCTTAGTTCCTCCAACCCGTTCCGCAAGGGACGAGGAAGGGCTTTCTGTAACTTTTTCTTGCCTTTGTATCTTGCTTTGTGATCGCTTGTTTCTGCTACAATTGACATGCCGTGCCGGGTTGCTCGCCGCCGCCGCCGCTGCTGCGGGGGGGCGAGGGGCCAGCACTGCTTCTCTCCCATCTCCGCCCTCTATCACTGCGTGCCAAAGCAGCTGCCCCAGCTCTTGCGATTTGACTTTACTAAAAATCAGCGAAGGTTTTTGCAGCTTGCCTTTGCTTCTCGCCCAAAGGACCAACTGTTCTAAATCGGCTTCTTTAATTTTTTCAGCTCTCTTTGAGAGAATATGAAAGAGAAGCCGCACTGAAGCCTGCAGATCCCCATCCATGGTGAACTTTCACCCTCTCTTTCTGTCCGCGGCTTACCTCCAAACCTCCGCGGGTTGCTTCGCTCTCGCTTTTCTTCGGCAAGGCAGCAACTCCGCTCCAGCTTCCCAGCCCCGGCCACGTCCACACCCACCGTTTGGGTCTCTTGTGAACGCCGAGGTCTTCCCACTGCTCCAACGGACTCTCGCAAACAAACAACAATGCGAAGAGTCTTTTTCCTCCCGTTGGGAAACGGCCCAATTCGGAGTTTGGAGACTTCTGCTCCGTTCCACTTGATCCCCATTCACAAAAAGTGAATTTGGGATCCCGGTCCCGTCACCATGAGGCGATTTGGACCTGAATTTTCGTCGCGCGACTCAAACCCGACTGCCCGTTACTCTAAAAGTAATTTGGCAGCCTTTTTGGAGCCTCCTGAGTCCCTGTTCGGGCGCCACTTAAAGCCAGGGAATCTCAGAAAAACGGAAAGCTGGACAAGACAAACGCAGGTTCAAACCAATGTGGTTAATCAAGCGTTTTCCGTTTATTCAAGATAAGGTGGTAGTTTATATAAGCTTCCACATAGTTTACAAAAACAAAGACACTCTAATTGGTAGGCTAACATTGTTTACCTTTTCCTTAAAACGGCCTACACTTTACACCATAAAACCTATACTAATTCACACCCAGACAACCCAGTGGTCCCCACAACACCTTAAGACTATTTTCTATCTGCGCCACAAGCTCTGAATTTCTAACTGCGTCAGAGGCTTTGAAGGCCCCACCAGGCCTCAATCTGAGGCCTGGACTGGAGTAGCTCAACTTTCACAATTCATGTCCTCTTTCTCTTAAAAATGCTGCAACACTCTGTCTTTTTGCCCCGTTACCAAAGAAGAAGCCATAATTCATCTGTGCTGTTTTCCAGGTTGTTTATTCTGTTTATCTCTAACATGTTCTGCTGCCCTGCCGCAGGTCTGTCCTGCAGGGCAGTGTGTGGGGCTCTGCCCCTCAGTGGGATGTTACAAACATTATATACCAGAAACTGCCTGTGCTGTATTTACAATAATGTGGCAATATCTATCACCTACGTTTAACAGTGTGTCCCCAGCCTGAACCAACTGAAAAATGCCAACACTACAGTGAAACATGGAGGGCATGAAGAAGGAGGAAAAGGACAAAACACACCCAATTTCCTCAATCTTGTCCCCTTTGAACCCCTAATCTAGAAACCTAAAATTTTACTTTTGCACCCGTGCCACACTTAATTATTACTTATATCAAACACTCAGAGCTTGTAATTCTTCCTGTAAGATTGAAAACTCTTTTCCATGGACAGAGATCAGAGACAGTGTCTCTTGGGGCTCTGTCCAGGGGGGTTCCTGACTCCCTGCCAGGGTCCCAGGCCCTCCAGGGCAGCAAGAGGGAAGCCCTGGATTCCCACAGCGGGGTTTCTGGGAGTTTTTTTTTGCAGGGAAAGGGATAGGTGGATCTTGCATTGCCCCGAAGGTGAGACGCAGATGCCCCTTTGGACACTTGTGAAGGGTTCCTGTAGCGATCTCTCTGTACTGGCTGGGGCAGTGGTAACAGTTTGGGGGGGACATCGGTTTTGGGGTTCCAATTGGCTTCAGAGTGGGGAGAGCAGCAATGGCCAATCCTGGAGCCAGGGGATCCCAGCAGCCTGGAGGAGTGGGGGATGCTGGAGATGAGCAGGGTCTGGGCCCAGCCAACTGTGAACAGGGTGGTGACTTCTCGAGCTGGACTTGGGCAGCAGGACCAAGGTGCTCACCCCTTGTTTTTCCCCCAAGCCAGGCTTTGTCCATCCCAACCTTTGTTCAGGTAGAGCTGGTGGAGGCTGTGAGGAAAAAGAAGATAGCATGGAACACTGAGGCAGGTGAGGAGGAAGTCACTGCCCCTTTCCCCCTCTCCTCTGCTCCACCTATCAGCCCAACATTACCCCTGGCTGCAGGACAACGCCGCTGCCAACACTGTCCTGCCAGGGATGAATTGGTGGGATCTCCTTCCCCTTCCCTCTGGCATTGAGGCAAATCCCATCCTCTCCTTGTCCGCCCTCCTTCGTCTTCTCATTCTATCCTTCTTTCTTCTACATTCCTTCCTCTTCTTTTCTTTCCTTACCCCAGGCACTGAGCTGCAGATGGAGACCTGGGAGGACAAATCGCTGCTGCAGAACCTTTTTTGAGGCTGTTTTGAGCAGCTCCACAGCATGGGAACCCAATGGGGAGGAAAAGCCTGGAGATCCCACACAAGGAGGGGCTGCAAACACAGCCCCGGGAGATGTGAGGAGGTAAGAGCTCCTCTGTGCCTAGAAGGCAGCCAAAGATTCATTTGGCACTCAGAGATGGTGGAGACGACTCATGGCGGGCAGAAGCCCCACAAGTGCTTGGAATGTGGGAAGGGCTTCAGCCGGAGCTCCGGAGCTCAGACATGATCTGGCACCAGGTGATCCAGATGGGGAATCAATCGGCCCTACAAGTGTGGAGAGTGTGGGAAGGGCTTTGGGCGGATCTCCCAGTTCATCAATCACCACAAGATTCACACCAGGGAGAGGCCCTATGAGTGTCCTGAGTGTAGGAAGTGGTTTCTGAGAAGCTCCAATCTCATCGTAATGAGCCAAGGGGTCAGCTGGAAATGTATTTAGGATAACTGAAAACTGTGGATGAGTCAAGGGGACAGCTGGGAATATAACTGAGATAGTAGATTACATATTTTATTTAAGATTTTTAAATCAGTTAAGAAGCCAAGTTAGCTAGCAAAAAGCACATGCCTTAGTTAAAGAGTAGCAAATATATTAGAAAAGTAAAGCTAGGAGTGACAGGGATAAATGTAGGAATTGTGAAGGAGCAGAGACCATAGAAATATCTTGCCTTAAGAATAATCAGCAGTTAGGAGAGGCTACTGTGACCAGCAGATCAAAAAGTCCTGCAAACTGGCCATGGGTGAAGAGTTTACCTTGAGGAAGACAGCTTTCTTCCTCCCTTACACCCACTCCCTTATTTCAAAATCCCAAAGACCCAATTAAGGAAGCACAATTGCGCAGCCGTAATGGATATTCAGCTGATTATAATACGAAGCGGGCAGGTAATGATTTTTTATTATGTGTCCTTAGAAATCGCTTTGATATGTAAAAGCTTTTCTGTATAAATAGAAAGCAGGAGTCTGCAACTCCTTGCACATGTACTTGGAAATGATTCCACATGTATCCAGCACTGCAATAAAATACCCTTCCTCCAGCTTTAATTAGTTGAAGAGTCATCTGTCCATGCTTCAGGGCATCAGCGGATTCACACACAGGAGAGGCCCTTCTGCGTCCCTGACTGCGGGAAGGGCTTCAAGCACAACTCCACCCTCGTCACCCACAGGCACATCCACACTGGGGAGAGGCCCAGTGAGTGTCCTGTGTGTGGGGAGAGATTCTCCAGAAGCTCTCACTTGACCCAACACCAAAGGAGGCACCATTAAGGGAAGCCCTGCGAGTACCCCCAGTCCCAGTATCATCCCTTTTTCTGCCCACAGAGCTCCTGAGCCAGTGGCGGCCGCAGCCCCTCCCCATGGCCTTGCACCTGGCCAGGACCTCCTGTGATTGGGCAGGGAGGATTTGGGCCGTGACTGGGTGGGGTCCAGGTAGGGACCACTGGTTGCTGTGGGTCTGCCCAGCAATTGGTGAGTCATCAGACCTACTGTCTCCGATTGGCTGAGGAAAGGCCTGAGAGTTGAGAAAAGGAATGGGAGAGATCCTGCCCCGAGCACTGGCACTGGCAAAAAAGTCCCAGCCTGGGCACAGGGAGTGAATTTATTACCATCCAAATCACAGCAGGACAAGGAGAAGGGAAAGAAATCTCTACAACACCTTCCCCCACCCAACAGGGATCACCCAGACCAGGGGTTATCAATGATGGAGAGTCAGGGGCATCTGAATTGAGATCAGAAGCCAATTTTATTGAGTGTACCAGGTGTTTATATACAGTTTTACCTGTATGGTACTTATATAGGGCTCTATTTTTGGTAACAATTTCCCATTGGTTACACATTCTTTATGACATCACGTCACCTGGTGTGAGAACCCCGGGATTGATTCGGGGCTCTCGCGTGGTGGTAAAGTCTCTCCTCCAACCTTTACTTCCAAAGAAAAACGCCGCAGCCTCTTGTTGTTCAGTCTCAAGGCAGTTTATTGCTAGTTATCTAAAAGATTGTCTTCCCCCGCTGCGGCTGCCTTGCCCAGCTGCCCAGGCAGAAACACACACACTCCTGACACCCTCACTGTCCGGTGTCTCCGTCGTCTCTCTCCCCGCCCAGGGCTGCTGCTATCTTTTATATGATATATTACGTGTTATATGTTTACAGATTTTCCCCAATACCTACTATCCATGTTACAATGTGCTTTTCTACTCTAAACCAATCTGTGAGTGCCAACATCACCAAGAACATGGAGGCAAGGAAGAAGAAGGAGGAAGAACAGGATCAGGCCCACTTTCCTCCATCTTAGAACTCCTGACCCCCCTGTACAAAGTAAAACCCCCCTGTACAGGTGTTTAAACCCCCCTGTACAACACTAAAAAATTTTCCCCTCTAATTTGTAACTACTTCTACTATACCATCTAACCCTCTGTGACCGCTTGTTCGACCTTCAAAGTTGGTAACTCATTCCATGGCTCAAACTCAAAATCACAGCTGTTTTCAGCTGGCTGCCAGGGTCTAAAATGCTTCTGACCAAGGCCTGGAACCTCTGAAAATGTCTGAGGGACATTTTGAGTTCCGACATCTCCCCTCTCTGTTTGAACCAGAAACACCCGCTTTACCATGTTCAAGGCCTTTCGAATACACACGAAAATGCATGGTAGAACAAGCAGAAGAACTGCAAACCCTATAAGAATGTAAAATGCTATTTTCAAAAGTTCTTTCCACAATGGTGAGAGATCAAAAAAGCCAAACAAATCATCCCACCAGGATCCTGTAACTTTGTTCAATTTGCTAATACTACTTTGTATTTGTTTTATATTTTCATGAATAGATTTCGAATGATCAGACAAGTTCATGCAGCACATCCCCTCAAATTCCTCACATCCGTGCCCATGTGTCAGCAGCAAATAATCAATTGCTGCCCTGTTTTGAAGGACTGCTTGCCTTGCACTGCTGATGTCTGTTAACATGTCACTCAGTGCAGACGAAATGGCACGACTGTGTTTGCTCAACCAGCATGGTATATGATCCAATTGTGTCAAGGCCACCCCTGATGCTGTTTGGGGTGAGAAAATTGCTACTGCAATTCTCCGAGACTTGTCCCAGGTAGAAACATCATCATCACAATTTGGACTATATTGTTCAAGGGATCTTTTTTCCCTGTGTGTCTGCTTTTGTAAAGTTTTCAGATCAGGTGTTAGCAATGAGAGTTCCCCAATGCTGCATGGACCGCCCTTGAGTTTTGCAGGGATAGCAGGCCAAATTCTGTCCCCGCAAATGAAAAACATTCCCTTCAGTAAAGTGGCTGGATGTTGAAGGGATGGTTTGCTTGTCATTTTGGTGTAATTGCACCAGGATGACGCATTTTTATAAAAAAGCTGATTTGGAGTGACATCTATTGTATGATTATCTGTCTTTGCCACTCCCGATGAATCAAATTTGATGCACCATTTCATTTTTGTTGACCCGAAAATGTCCAATTCCGGAGGTTCCAAGTGAGCCACAGGAAGGTACTGTGTCCAAACATGCCATCCTTCCACAGGATCTGAAAAAGTTTTCAGAATCTTTGGAGGGATGCCTTTTGGAATTGGCCATTCCTTCACTGGCACACCTATCAAGCATGTTGAAAATGGTTTCCCTGGCTTTGAATGAGTCAGACAAATGCTGTCCAGACCCGCTGCCTTTGCCAAAGTTTCCCACACATTTTCCTTTGGTTGTTTCATGGGAAAGTCTGTCCCATTGCCCAAGGCAATAGGCAAGAGAATGAAGCACATGAACACTACCTGTCTGAATCCCATGTCCATGCCCCCACCCTCTGTGAGAGACCCTGCAATGCAGCAACACCCAAACAACACTTGATTTCCCAGGAAAAGAAAACCCCCCAAGTCTCTGGGTGATCAATCGTTGTCCGACGTGACGTCTGCAGCATCGTCCTCTGCCTTCGTCTGCGTGCTTGCTTCTCTGCTTCTCGGGTCCACGTCCACTTGCGTCTGCACCCGATAAGGTTTCACGTGCCTCGCCGACACCCACTTCGGTCCTCGCTCTGTGGAAACACAAGCGAAACCCTTGCCCCAAGTTATTAATGTAAATGGACCTTCAATTTGTCCCAACTGATCAAAACTAAAGGATTTTCCCTTAGCTTTGCTTGTGTGCTGTTTGTGAAGGGCCTAACAATTGGTGGAGTGGGTTCTGAAAAAGAACCATTTAAAAAATTCAATACATACAGAGCTTTGTTCAACCACATGTGCGGTGTTGCGCCTGCTTCCCCCCTTTTCTGTTTATCCAAGAGGGATTTCAGGGTGTGATGTGTTCTTTCAATGATTGCTTGACCTGAGGGAGAATAAGGAATACCAAAAATGTGTTTGACTCCCCATTTTTTCAGAAATTTGTCAAGCACCTTGCCTGTGTAAGTTGGACCGTTATCTGTTTTTATTTCTTGTGGCACCCCAAGTGATGCAAATGCTTGTAGAAAATGTCTGCAGGCATGTTCTGCGGTCTTCCCTGTATGTAATGATGCAAAAATCGCCCCTGAAAATGTGTCAACTGAAACATGGATATTTTTGAGCTTCCCAAAAGATGGGTATTTTGTGACATCAGCTTGCCACAGCTGAAGACTCTGCAATCCCCTTGGATTGACAGCTCCTGTGGATGCAGGAGGCTGCACAAGCTGACAATCTGGGCAAGCACTGATGATTTCCCTTGCCTGACTTTTAGAAAGGCGGAAGGACTCCATCAGCACCTGTGCATTTTGATGGAAAAATGCATGGCTCAATTTTGCCTGCTCAAAAATATCTGGCAATGTCTGTGATATGGTCATTGTGAGTCTATCTGCGTGAGCATTCCCTTCTGCTAAGAACCCTGGGAGTGAGGAGTGTGCCCTGATGTGTGCAACAAAATATTTGTGGTCTCTGTTTTCTAGAATTGTCCTCATGCATGACAAGTATGAATATAAAATTTCATTGTCAGTGTGTTTCAAAAATGATCCCTCTAATCGTTTGACCACATTTGCAACATATGCTGAATCTGTGATCAGATTGAGAGGTTCCTGAAACAATTGAAAAACCCTGACCAGTGCTGCCAATTCCACAATTTGTGGTGAACCCTGTACTATTTTAATATCTGATTCCCATTCCCCTGTTTTTGGATTTTTCCATGTGACCACTGATTTGTGAGTTTTCCCTGAACCATCAGTGAATACTGTCATCCCTTGCACTGGTTCCTGGCTTATTTTTGGTTTTTCCCTGAAGCTCACTTTTGCATTCAACATCCTGTGTGCCGGGAAATGAACTGTACAAACTCCTGGATACCCTAACAAAGCAATTGCGAAATCCTGTGATTTCTGCATCGCCCACTCAAAATATACTTTCTTTAAAGGTACATGAATGACTGAGAAATCTCTGCCTGACATTACCAGCAATCTGGTCCTCGCCTTAATAATAATTTGTGCTATCATTTCTAAATGTTATAAATGAAAATTTGTCCAGCCAAATTTATATGAAAAATAAATTATTTATTTTGCAATCAAATTTTATCTAGCCAGCCACAAGGAAAGAACAGAGCCGAGCCCGGGATCGGCCCTGGGTGTGCAACAAGGAGTCAGCCTCATCAGAGGTTTTCCTCCATGCCCACACACCTCCATCCTGGCACAAGGGGTTTTTATAGGGAAAATTCCGCCTGAGGCCAAGATTTCAGCAATCAGTCTTTTCTTCTATTCAGAGTCCATATGTTAATAAGATTTTCCTTTTTGGTGATGAGGGAGAACAAATCACTGTCTGGAGTTTGTTGAATCCTTTGATGAAATTTACTGGAACGCTGTATTCACATGTATCTGCCTCAGGATTTCCATGATATCCATCTCGGGTCGTTCACGCTAACGATCAGCACCTGGGGTTTCTGTATCTCCCCAAACATGGCCCATCTCCTGGCGAGCTGTACCTTCTTACTTATAAATCAGTTTCCAATCTACACCCGGTCTCACCTGTGCCTGTGAGGGGGGGGGAAATCCTAATACAAACATGTATACTCTAACAAATATTCAATATCACATATATCATATTAGA